TTGAAATATTTTCCAGCTCTTAAGCTCTTTGGGATAAGATAAAATTGAGCAGTGTATGAGAGGTGAGCAAAATATAACTTGAGGGAGTTGAGTGGAGCTTTCAGTAGATTTTGTTGTTGTTATTTTCGTCCTAGGTTTGCAGCTGGCATTGTTTGAAAGGCCACACGGTAGGAGTGGAAACAAACAGAAGTAGGCCAGTTTTTACTGTATCTGAAACTCAGTCTCAAACCAGCTGTGTTTCTAGTTGGACTGGGGTGGTCTGCTCTTACTCTGGAAGAAAGAAAGTGAAGTCGCTCAGTCATGTCCGACTCTTTTGCCACCACCCCATAGACTGTAGCCTACCAGGCTCCTCCCTTGGGAGGAGCAAGAATACTCCTCCAGGCAAGAATACTGGAGTGGGTTGCCATTTCCTTCTCCAGAGGATCTTCCCCACCCAGGGATCGAACCCGGGTCTTCCACATTGTTAGCAGACGCTTTACCGTCTGAGCCACCAGGGAAGTCTGGAAGAGCAGTTGGAAAAAAATTAAATCCTTTCTGGAAGAAGAAAACATCATCCAGGGCTTCTACATTTTTTCCTAAGTATTTTCATGTAGTCATTCACATACAATGTGTAGTATTCAGTAAAAGAAATTACTAGGCATGCAATAGGACCAGCAGAAGAAAACCAGCAGTAGAAACAGGTTATACAGATTATCCATAGGTTGTGTAATTCCAGAGCTATAGACAAGATCTTTAAAATACTGTAACTAACCTAGTCATGAAAATAGCATGGTGAAGAAGTTCACTGAAGAACTTGAATCTATAGAAAGGAATCAGTTAAGAATAAAGGACTGAAAATAGAGCAACTGAAATTAAAAACCCAATAGATCAGTTTAACTGTAGTTTAGACACAGCTGAAAAGAGGATCAGTCAAATGGAAGATAGTAGAAAATATTCAGCAACAGTAATGTATCTTTTAAGAATGTAAAACAGAATTGGTAAAACATAATATTACTCACACATTTGTATTTGATACCCTCCCCCGAGCCTTTGAGCAGACAAAAATTATTCATTATAAATACCTTATGTAGCTTGTTTAGCATACTCAGCTACTTGGAGTAAAGCCCTGGAATGAAAAAGTAAGCAAAATACTTACCAATTCAAAATAGATACCCAGAGCTAGATGGTTAAACAGGTATTTTAACATATTTGTGTTAGAAGATTCTTACTTTTAGTTGGGCTAATGGTTTTAATATACTTGGTAATCTGGTAAACTAGTTTAGTTGCTAAGTCTTCTGGCCAACTCTTCAGACGCTATGGACTGTAGCCTGCCAGGCTCTGTCCATGGGATTCTCCAGGCAAGAATACTGGAGTGAGTTGCCATTTCCTTATCCAACAATTAAGACTGTAAATTAAAAAAGAAGTTATGGGTAAATAATTGAAGACTTGATTTTGGCAACCAGCACCTTGTTTAATCATATCTAAGACTCCACTATGAACTGTACCATTGGTATATGTACTACTAAGAAAAGAGAAAGCTGTCAATTGTAATTAATTGTGATACATCATGATTTCAGAGATGTTAAAATGTGGGGGAGAAGGTAAATGGTAATCTTAGTTTTAAATCTCAGTTATGTCATTGTTTGCCTTCAGTCAAGGAACTTCTTTCGGCCTGTTTGCTTATTTGTGAAATTGGGATAGTATAGTCTACTCTTTAGAATTAGGAAGACTAAATGAATTAAAAGATACAAATAGTCTTATGGAGTAGGCATTTTGAAACCTGTTAATTAGACTTTCATTTTTTTCTTTCTAAAATTTGGCATTATTATGATAATAGGAAGAGACTCCTGACAACTGATGCGATGTGGTAGGGGAACAGAACCCCAATATATTGGCTAAATAAGAACTTAAAAAAGAAAATTTCTGCTGGCGCTGTTTAATAAATTGTCAGACTTCATTCTTTATTCTCCCCCTGCTTCATTGCTTTCACCTGTCTTATCTCCTCAGTTGTATCTAAAGATATCACTGATTCCAGTACGATGATTGATATTTATAATGATGGAACTGGCATATCAAAATAATATATTTTCACTAAAGTGACTTTTAGAGAGTTCATTTTAGGAAAATTTCTAGTACTTCTAAGTTTAATTGTTATGGTTAAAATCTCAATGTTTAGTTTTGTAGAATTCTTGCTCTTCTAATGATGCTGTATACATATGGCATTAATCAAAATGAATGGATCTTTTTAAGACGCTAGATTTTGTGATGTTTCATGGACATGAGAATTCTTACTTTATACTTATTTTGAAGATTCCCAGTAAACCCAGAAAAACATTGTTCTTGAGCAGTAAGATATTCATAGCTTTACTCTTGTGTTCATTCTGTTCTCTTCTTTCAGGATTTTTCAAGTCACATTCAGTTGATAGGATGAAAAAATTCAAGAGAAGGCTATCCCTCACGCTTCGAGGAAGCCAGACTATTGATGAATCATTGTCTGAATTGGCCGAGCAAATGACTATTGAAGAAAACAGCAGCAAAGATAATGGTAAATATTTGGGTGAGTGGGGTGAGAAGAAGAGATGCTTCTCCCTTGAATTGCTTTATAAATCCAGTGTGCCTTTACTTTCCTGGTTAGCTCCTAGTAGCTTCCTTTTGTTTATTTATTTGCCTCCTTCCCTAGTTCAGTAACTGTTGCTTGCTTACTGGAATGCTCCATTCTTACTCAACAGTGTGCTCTACCTGGTCTCTAACACTGATGAATTCTACATCCTATTTATCTTTCCGTTTTTCAGTGGTTCTTGAATAACAATTACTTTGTATAGTAATGTCATAGTTAAGTACCTACTTTTAAATTAACAGTTAAATATTTGTGTTATTCTTATAACTAAAGTTAATACAGCTTAGAAGTGCGTAGTAAGTTTGTGAAATTCCAGGGAATTCCCTGGCTGTCCAGTGGTTGAGACTTAGCACTTTCACTGCCCAGGTCTCAGGTTCTGTCAGGGAACTAAGATCCCACATGCTGCATGGTGCGTCCAGAAAAAAAAGTTTGAGAAATTTCTGTTTGATCACAGATTTATAACATTATGTATGCATATTGACTGTTCACATAGACCACAAGGTTTATCACATGACTGAATCACACTATTTTCTTATTTTATATTGACTAAAGAATCTGTCCATAGTGTTGAGAGCTCTTATAGTAAGACAGGCTTATAATATTCCACGAGTTTGGCAATTGTTTTTGTGGTGTAGTTAGTACACAGATGTTAATTTAAAATAAAAAGGATTTGTTAAATTGAATGCATTATAATGCAAAATCCTGATGAAATTATAGAATAAGGCTACATATTCAAAACTGAAATAGCCCTAGGGATGTCATAATAATAACCAGGAAGGAGCTTACAGGAATGGCTGCCCGTGTGTCATAATGTGCAGATTCTCTGGAAAGGCTTCCTTGCCTCTGCCTGAAACTTTCCTGTTAAGAGATTTGTGGCAGTGGGTGGACTCATGAATTTCTGTACCCACTCTGGCTAAAATGTAAATATCCTTGTGAGAGAGGGAAAGGTATAATGAAAAGCGCTCTGGATGTTAAGTTAAAAGTTATGGATTGGAATTTGGAATATACATGTACACACTTAATAGTTGTATGACTCTGAGTAAGTACTTTATCGTACCCAAGCTTCAGTTTATACTGTTTTCCTCAGAGTGTCATTATTTTACTCAAGGTTATCTGGCTCATAATATGGGAGGGGAATAGATGAGTTGGGTAGAAAATTTAATAATTTTGGTATAATTTACTTACATGTAGGAGGGAAATATTTTACATTTGAGATTTGAATCAAATCTCAAAGCTGTTATTATTATGTCTTTCTCCTCTTGCCAGGAGAAAAAATCCTTAAATCTCTCTGATCTCCTTGAATTCTTGATATTAATTAAGCCCTGTATGTTCATTCTTGGGCTTCATGAGTATTGCTAGCTATCTGCCAGTGATACTCAGAAGTAAAGTAGGCACAGAATACTCTTCGTGGATGGTTTCTGGGACACATTCTTGATAGGAATTTGACTACAAGACAAAAGCATCTTCTTTAAAAAGAAAGTGTGAGTCAACGAAAGTGTACATATTTTTTAGAGAGCTAATTAATGTTTTTGATTCATGGCATAGTTTCTGGAATACTTCTGTATTAACTGTCTTAAAAAACGCTTAATTTATAGTGAATGGTGAAATATTTTAAAAAATTTTGAAGTAGAATATAGCTTATTAAAATTTACTTTTATTCTATAGTAACATTAAAATTAATAAAGAGAAAAATAGAAACTACTGAGTTTCCTCTTTAAACTTCTCAAACTACTTGAAGTAATACTTGAAGGCGTCATAATAGACATTGATTGCTCTTCAGTTGCAGAGATTGCTGGTAGCACAGACTATCTCTGAATTATAATGTTTATTCCCTGTGTATAAAGAACGCGGGACAGTTTTCACAAAGATTCAGTACCTTTTTGGTAATCTATCAAAGCTTGATAGCTGGTTCCAACATACCCTTTCTTTCTGGAATTTATCTTAGAGGGTAAAAGGCTCCTACGGTAAGTAACACATACAGTCTGTCTGAATATGGTTTAACAAAGGAGAAGAGAGAGACTATACTTTTTTAATGATCTCCTCACATGCTATATAACCAGTTTGTGAAACAAGTGATCTTTGTCTAACCATATAGAGGCAATGCTAACTTGAGGAGGAAGTATATAGTTTATAAATTTCCTAAGTAAACTACCTTTGAACCAATTTTTGATCTCTTGTCTCTTATTCAGTCACTTGTACCAACAGAATACTCTCATTGTATATAGGCAAGTGACTCTGTGCATACCCTAGAATAAAACGAATGAGAAAGTACACATAAACGGAGATAATACTCAAAATCTTAGAAAAACTGTAATGCATATGATAAATTTAGCGTAATGCATATGATAAATTTAGCATAATGCTTTAAAGATTTCCACTACTTTTAAGATATAGAATATTATTATCCTACTGAACTGTCTTAGTTAATTGCTGTCATAATCTTGAAATATTTGAGTAATTGACCTCATCTAGTCCTTTGACTTCAGCTACTATGTACATGCTGACTACACCTAAATTTGTCTCTCTATTCAGGATTTTTGTCTGGATCTTTAGATTCATTTCCAAATGCTTTATTTGGCTTCTTCACATAGGTGTTTAATAAGAATCTTAAACTTAAAATGACCAGACAAAATTCTTGATTTCCTTCCCCCCAAATCAGCCTCTTCTCCAGCTTTCCTCACTTAAGCTAAACCACTTACAGCTAAAAATCCAGAAATTATCCCTGATTCTTTCCGCTCTTTTAGCTTTCTGTTCTCCATTTCTCCCCTCCTCTGCCATTGTAGTTGCCTGTATATTTACTGCATACCTAGCTTTCAAAAACTGTTAATGGTAGTCATTTGTGTACTAGTAAGTGAAATATGTTTTTGCCCCTATTCATTATTAAGTCATTGTTCATTTTGCTCAGCTTAAGTTAGGATCCCCAGTCTCTGATCAGCTAGCTACTGTCAGGGAATGTACATCCAGTCATGGGCATGGACCGATGTTCGGCATTACTGGTTATGCACTTCCCCTACCTCTTAGTCTGGTGTTTTATCCAGCGTAGATGACCTAGGCCTGTGCGGTCCTTGAGGATTGTTTTGCCCCATCCTCCATCTCTCTCCTCCCTTCACACAGCCATTATTAGTAGAGCCAGAGACCAAGTGGCCTTCTTGGCTCACTTTTCCCAAGCCCATGCTTTGGTCTTGTTTTCTGTGGATCTGAGCCTCCTGCTCTTTTTAAGTGTTAAATTTTTGTAATGTTTCTGCATGGTTATAGGTCTGTGATTTTTTTTTAAAACTATTGAAAAATTCTAAATTTGGGCTAATTTCAGAACCTCTGTATTGACAACGTACTTAAGTACTTCTGTTTTATTTACTAACTTGACATAGTCTTTGGAATGTCTAGCAAACAGGTATATAGTTATTTCAGGCCAGGATTATGTCTTTTATATTCTACAGCATTCCTAATCATAAGGCATATATGAGGCAGTCAGTAAATGCTAGAATTACGGAAACAATCTTGAGATGTTTTAAACAGATCAGAAATGTGTGGGCTTTGTGATTGCTAACCAATTTCGATTGTATTAAAAATAGAGGGGTGGGGCTCAGAGGAGTGGGAGGGGAAGTTCAGGAGAGAGGGGACTTATATGTATACTTAACGGCTGACTCATGTTGTTGTATGGCAGAAACCAATATAACATTATAAAGCAGCTATCCTCCAATTAAAAAGTACATTTTTAAAGGTGGATCTTTAAGTTACTGGATCAGTTTCAAATAGTCTTTTCTGTAAGTATTTTTCATAGAAATTATTTTAATTCTAGTACTTTATATGCATAGCCAAAGAAATGAGGTTAAATGTAATGATCTCTATCATAATCTTTTGTTTTCTTTTTTGCTTTCTCAATCCTTCTCATGTCATCCTGGATCTTGGGCTATTCATGGAATGATTTTTGGATACTGTGAACTGCAGAGCCTATCGTGAAGAATGGCAGGCCTCCAACCTCGCACAGTATGCATTCCTTCCTCCACCAGTACACAGGGTCCTTTAAGAAGCCCCCATTGCGGAGACCACATAGCGTTATTGGAGGAAGCCTTGGTTCCTTCATGGCAATGCCCAGAAATGGAAGCAGATTAGGTAATTTATCTGTATTTTAAAATTTTTCTGACTGTGGCTTCTGTCCATAGCTAGGTTTCAGCTGTATGCAGGTCTGCCCACCTTTATTATCTAGTTTTTTCTTGTAAGGTAAAAATCAATAGGAGAAATAGGAATAGGAGGAAGAGCAGAAAACTGGAAGGTTCTGGAGAGGCAGTAGTGCTGACACTAGGAGGAGTAATATTTGAAAACCTGTTCACCAGAAAGAAAACAGAGCCCTTAAGAGGTAGATGTAAGATTTCAAGGTGAATAGCAGTTTGAGATGATGCCTAATTTTGGGTCACACTTCAGTAACTCTGGATCATCACTTTTTGATCACCAAGTGCAATAGTTAGTATATATGATTATGAGTATATGTGATTATTACCTGAGTTATTCTTGTCTCTGTGTTGCCTTAAATATCTAAGGAAACATATGTCTGCAGGTTTCTATTTATTTCTCTGGTCTTTTTTTTTTTTTTTTGATGCTCTCATCATGTTTTGTTTTTTAAATAATTTTAAATATAACTACTTTATACACTTATTACATAATTGTATGTACTGAAGTTTCTGAAGGTTTTATTCTGCTTCTTTCTTTATCTACTTAATCTAGCCATGGTATCAACCCACAGATTATTTTCTTATGTGTTCTGTTAATTTTGGGAGGATGAGCTTGTCTACAGGGGTTTTTGTCTGTGTCTCAGACTGGTTCATGAGAGATGATTGTTAAATTTTCAGAAATTTTGCAAGCTGATTGTTAATCATAACCATTATTAAAATTTAAATTATATAAATTTACAGTTAAGTAAATAAAATTAAAAACAAAGGTAATAAATAAGCAAAAGTCATTTCCTAATTATTTTACTACAGTTAACTGTTGCCTATGCTTTGGGGATATTTCTCCTATATCTGTATACTCAAAAACACTAATGTCATGGTATCCATATTACCGAACTAGGTGTTCAGTGATACCATATTGGTAGCTTGAGGTTAGCCACAAAGGGAGTATTTACCCTTACAGAAATTGGAAACCACTTCAGATCAGGGCTTAATTTATTGTTCTCTTGATTGTCTAGACTAGGGGTTGGCAAACGTTTTCTGTAAATGGTCAGGCAGTAAAAATTTTTTCAAATTTTGTGGGCCTTATATAGTCCGTTGCATAATCTTTTTAAAATAATCTGTTAAGGATGCCAAAACCATTTTTAGCTTAGGGCCGTACAAAAACAGGTCACATGTGCTGATCCTTGGTCTAAACTTAAAGTGATGTTAAAAATGTTAGTAATGCAGATTAAATTTGAAAGTGGGTTATGTCTGTAACTGTTAACATTGTGAATTACACAAAAACTGAAGCATTTGAGAAGTAATTTCTTAAGTAAGTTCTTCTATTAAGAATTATTGCCTGATTCAGAAAAGAAGTTGCTCATACTGGTGACAAATGAATGAAGTCTTTTGACATAAGGCTTCATTGCTTCACTGTTTTCTAATTGATGGAAGTGAAAATACCAACTGGTATTCATGTCAGAACTAGCTTGTTAGTGACATGAGGTGTTTCTTGGTTGAGTCAGATGCTAACAAGTATTTATTTACTCATAGTCTGAAATTGATAAACTCCTTTTTAGTCCTCATGTGGGAGAGCAGATTTCTGTTTTTAAGTCCACCTTTTACTGAAGATGTAGCTCTTTTGAAAGTTGCCTGCCTTTTAACAGAAAGCTCTCATTTGCAAGTGTGACACCCGAGGCTTCATCTTTTATTTCAGTGTAGTGGCTGAATCCTAGCACACTCTTGCCAAGATCAGAAACCCCTCCCAAGAAAGTGACAGTCAATTTTTGCATAACAACTTTGGACCTTCAATTCTCTCTTTGTCTCTGCTTCCTGGGTATTAAGCATGCTTGTCAGGCAAACTCAGCTATATATTTTAAACTATATTCAACATTTTCTTGAGTAAGATTTGTAGATTTTCCTAGAAATGGAAGACACAATTAAATTACCTTTAACATTTTTTAAAGAGTGGTAGAAAAGAATGCTTGGTCATCAGATTAGGAATCAATCACCCAGTATATTGACTTCTACTGCCAAATTAATTTTTTGTTCAGTATAAAATTTCTCCAGAAATGTGTCATTAAACTATATTCTTAAATTACATATTGGTCTATTAAAAACCATTATTTTTGCAGCTGCTTATCAGTGTGAATAAGAATTTTCTCAATAATGTGTTACCAAGACAAAATACAGAAATGTATGAAATGTAAGACTGATTTGATGAGACCCTGGAGTTCAGTTTTTTGTTAAATAGTTCTCTTATTTTTGTAAGTAAATAACTAGAAGTTCAAATTTGTAGTTGTGAATACTATTCTTATTTATTTTACATGTTGATATTTCATATAACATTTCATTTGAAAGAAAAGGTCCAGTTATCTGGTCCATCCTTTGATTTTTTTCTTTTTCTTTTTTAGTTAATGTTTAATTCAGTGGAGTATTTGTTGAGCTACTTACTAAACAAACTTAGTTTGGTTCTAGGAATAGAAAAGTGAATAAGTCAGATTATGCCCCCAAGGGATCTCATAGCTTGATATAAAATCACATGAACCAAAAACTGCTCTTCAATATAGTTGGTGTGCTAGGTGTGGGCACAGTGTTCCTTTGTGTCTGAAAGTAGAAAAGACCTGATGACATATGCGCATATTGTCAAAGAATGGATTCACCACATTGATAAAATGAAGAAGTACTCTCTTACAGATAAGAAAAAGCAAAAAGCTTGCTAAAGCACTTCAGTGTGGAAGAACATGATACTTTTGGGGGAGTAAATAATTCTGTGGAGAGGACCCATGGAAAGAGATGTGTTTGAGATCTAGCATTTGTTTCTGGTGGGCTACTCTTGCTAGATCAATTAGAAGGTCATTGACAAATGTAAATATAAGAGCAAGTGTAAAAGTGTACAAGTTTATTTTTAATATTCCCCAAAGGAGTTAATCTCCCTACCCTCTACTCCCATTTAACTTTTATTCCTTTTTTAAAAAATCATGATTTACCTTGCATTGTAAGTGAAATGTTTTTGCCCTCAGTAGATTTTGTGGTACTGTCTTTGTAGTTACACAAAATCAGTACTCAGTGAATACTTTTTTGAATTTTTTTTTTTAACACTTGGGGATGGGGAGCTACATTAGCAACTGTTAAAATTTTTTAAAAGATTGTGCAACGAACCAGTTCATCTTGATATGACCCAATGGCACATTATTAAATGGAAAGAATACTAAACTAAATAAAAGATCAGGTTTCTATTTTGGCTCTGCCTCTAAGCTGTGTGACCTTTGAAAGTCATTTAACCTTTCAAGCTCTCAGTTTCTAGATCTGGAAAACAAAAGAACTGACTAAATAATCCTCAAGTGTTATTTTTGGTCTTTAATTTTATTATTCAACTCTTAGTAATAACTTGAATGTTAGTTTTTTAAAATAACTTTTTATAATCTTAGAGCATAAGAGGATTTATTACTACTGTTTTAGGACATTTGTCCTCAATGTGCAGTTTTTATTAACTGCACATCTGTAGTACCCAGAATGTAAAAGACCTTTTATGCTATGATTTTTGGCTGTTGGCTGTCTACATCTTATATGTAGAGATAATAAATTCTGTGATACTGTAGAATTTAATACATCTCTTCTAAGATAAATAATATTTCATTTTCTGATACAGATATTGTTCATGAAAATTTAAAAATGGGATCAGATGGTGAGAGTGACCAAGCTTCTGGGACATCATCTGATGAAGTCCAGTCACCTACGGGTGTTTGTCTTAGAAATCGTATACATAGGCGGATCTCAATAGAGGTACCGTTTTTTTAAAAAAACATAAATATACCTGTGTTTGTGTGTATAAATGCATAAGAATAAGTGCCTATTTGAAAATTTTCATGACAGCAATGACACCTGTAAGAAAGTTGTTTCTTTGCTTTAATAAAAACTAGTCTTGTGAATATTTTTTCCTAATTATCTACTATACCAAGGCACATATACAGTAATTCTACTTAAATATTCTGCAAAATACTATGTAGAGTCTTTGTAAAGGAAATGTGAATTTTCAAAAGCTTCAGAAATCCAAGATGATACATTAGGGAAAGTCTTCCTTTTAGAAAATATTTTAATTAATTTTTTTGAGATTCATCTAGGTACTTCAGATTTTATAAATATTTTCACATTTCAAAAAGTATACAAGAAATAAGCACCAGCTTTTTTTCCTTGTTTTATAAATTATGAATATGGATATCACTTCCTTTTTTGGTTTATTATACCTCCTAATGTCTGTAGCACACGTAAGTTACTTCTCCATGTAAAAGAATGAAAAGCTCCTTTCCTTCTCTTTGTCAATGTTGTGTATAACCTCAAGGACAGAAGTTGATTACGAATATTATTATTTCCATATGTATACTATAGATTAAAAGTAATTTTCTCCAGAAAATTGAGCATGTTTTGAAATAAGAATGTTGTTATTTTTTTCAGTGCTGTTGAGGTATTGATGATTAGGGTATTTGTCGTCTTGGTTGATTGTGTTTTTGCTGATCAAAGATTGCTTCTGAATCAGTTACACAAAACAATATCAGTTTTTAAATGGTAAAATACCATTTTCAGCTCTTGAAATCAGCTTGATACCTGCTCATTGCTGTCAGTCGCTAGGTCGTCCAGCTCCGGGACTCCGGGGACCACCGCACACCAAGCTCCCTGTCCTTCACTGTCTCCCGGGGCCAGCTCAGACTCATGATAACTGTTCATGTCACTGCATGAATCACAGCACACTAGTAATAAAAATGTTTATTTCTCTTCATATGTGTGATTCTATTTATTATAGGTTTAAAAGTTTTATTTAATACTAGGATCTATATCTGGACATTCTTATTCAACCATTGAGCTGTATTCTCCCCCAAAAGTGACACACTCTTGATTATTGTATACTTTAGTATCTGGAAAGACCCCCACACCCACACATACATTTTTATTTATTTTAGAATGTTTTTGGATATTGCTTTCTATTTATTCTTCTAGCTAAATTTTAAATATTTTGTTTTGTTCCAAGAATAATCTTACTGTGATTTGTTTAGAGTCATGTAAAATATAAAACTAACTTGGGAGAATTATTATTTTCTCATCAGTTGAGAACATGATATATTTTGATACTTAATGGCATATATTTCTCAATAAATTTATATACAATTTCTTTACATCTCAATTTTATCTCCTGATTTATTATTAATAGCAGGGATTTATTTTTATAGGATTTATGTTTCTTGGTGTGATAATGTAGGCAGGACCTCTGTTTCTCTCAGTTCACATAATTAAATGAAATAGAAACACCTTTTACTTGTTTCCACTGACATAGCAATAATAAAATATTTCAATTATATCACTGTATTGCATGCAAAATCATGTGATATCCACATGATTAGTTAGTTAAACCAACCCCATTTTATGGTAGACTTTGCCTATTCCTACCATATGGTATGCTGCTCATGGGGTTCTCCTGGCAAGAATACTGGAGTGGTTTGCCATTTCCTCCAGTGGACCTTGTTTTGCCACAACTCTTTACATATAACCTGTCTGTGTTGGGTAGCCCTGCACGGCATGGCTCATAGCTTCATTGAGTTATGCAAGCCCCTTTGCCAGGACGTGTGGGTCAGGAAGCAGCAGTTAAAACTGGACACAGAACAACTGACGGGTTCAGAACTGGGAAAGGAGCACAACAAGGCTGTATGTTGCCACCCTGCTTACTTAACTTATCTGCAGAGCATATCATGGGAAATGCCAGACTGAATAAAGCACAAACTCAAATCAAGATTGCTGGGAGAAATACAAGCAGCCTCAGATATGCAGATGGAAGCACCCTAATGGCAGGAAAACAAGGGTCAAAGAGGAGAGTGAAAAAGCTGGCTTGAAACTCAGCATTCAAAAAACTAAGATCATGATATCCAGTCCCATCAGTTCATGCAAATAGAAGGGGAAAAAGTGGAAGCAGTGACAGATTCTGTTTTCTTGGGCTCCAAAATCACCGCAGATGGTAACTGGAGCCATGAAATTAAAAGACGCTTCTTGGAAGAAAAGCTATGACAAACCTAGACAGCATATTAAAAAGCAGAGACATCACTTTGCCAACAAAGGTCTGTATAGTCAAAGCTGTAGTTTTTTAGTAGTCATGTTTGAATGTGAGAGTTGTACCATAAAGAAGGCTGAGTGCTGAAGAATGATGCTTTCAAATTGTGGTGCTGGAGAGGACTGTTGAGAGGCCCTTGGACTGCAAGATTAAACCAGTCAATTCTAAAGGAAATCAACCCTGAATATTCATTGGAAGGGCTCATGCTGAAACTCTAGTACTTTGGTCACCTGATGTGAAGAGCTCACTCATTGGAAGAGACCCTGATGCTGGGAAAGATTGAAGGCAGGAGAAGCGGGCGGCAGAAGATGAGATAGATAGCATCATCAACTCAATGGGCATGAATTTGAGCAACCCATGGGAGGTAGTGGAGGACAGAGAAGCATGGCGTGCTGCCAGTCAGCGGGGTTGCAAAGAGTCACACACGACTTAGTGACTTAAAAGCAACTATATGGTATAATAATGTAAAAATTTATTCCATGCTGATTTTATCAATGAAGGGACTCAGCTCAGTTGTAGAACATCATTTCTGTAAAATAAACTGCGCTGTATACTTTTGCTTACAGTAAATACATTTGCTTTCGGTATATTACATGCAGCTTCCCTCGTGGCTCAGACCATAAGGAATCTGCTTGTAATTAATGTCGATACCTTTGTGATTGCAACAAACCTTTGTAATTACTGATTGCTGAGAAATAATATATTAGGGCTCATGAATTAAAAAGTCAAATGCCCTTGTCATCTCTTGTTTGTGGTTACCTACATAGATTTTCTTTTTCTTGGTTTTTAAAAGGATTTAAATAAGCGGTTATCACTGCCTGCAGATATCAGAATACCTGATGGGTATCTTGAAAAGTTGCAGATCAACAGTCCACCATTTGATCAACCAATGAGCCGAAGGTCTCGGAGAGCTTCCTTAGTAAGTTTTTAAGTCTCTTATACCTATTATATTAGATCTGGTTGTTTGATTTTCTGGGCATAAACATTTTAAATTAATTTTTATATTGTTAATAGTTATAGTTTATTACATCGTTTTCTGGATTTTGTCATTTTCCCTTCTTAACGTTTTAGAGATGTTATATTGAATAGAATTTAGGTTTATTTTATTTTTTGGTAAATTTTACTGATACATACTAGATGTATAAAATATGTACTATCATCATGCACTAGATACACAGAAAAGTACATAAACATAATTGTAGCGCTCCATGAATTTTTGTGAAGTTAGCATACTTGTGTAACTTGTACTCAGATAAATATAAGAAAATCCCCCAAATTCCAGAAAACTTGTCCTGCCACTTCATTGTTCACTTCCACCCTCCCTTCCTCAGCTTTGGCATTATCTCTGCCTTCTAATGCCAAAGATTAGTTTTACCTATATGTTTTTCACTGTTTTGATTATGTTTATAGTGTTTTAATATAAAGAAAGACTTCTTTATCTTGACTTACTTACATTCTTATTTGAAAAATGCATTTGATATTCTTTTTCTGATTATTCTTAAACTTTTGAACTTTATGTAATTATGAATATACAAATGATTAAAATACATTTTATACAAATATATTAAAATATGTTGTACAAATATATATGTATAAAATAAATATACATACAAGTTTATATATATAGTATACAAAAATACCCTATTACATATAGAAGTACACCAATATGTATTCCTCTGCAGTCGACTTCTTTTGTTTAGTGTTAGTCTCCTTTGCGTTATTGCATGTAGTTAGGTTATTCATTTGTTCTTTCTGTTGCATGGTGTTCCATTGGTGAGTATACTGTATTTTATTCAGTCTTCTGTTGATGAATGTTTACATTTATGTTATTTTTAATTTTGGCTGTTATCAAAGACTGCTTCTATCACCATTCCTGATTATGTGTTTTGGTTAACATATGTACGCATTTCTGTTGGGTGCATACCCAGGAGTGGAGTTGTTGGGTAGATTGTGTGCAGATGTTCAGCTTTTCTAGGTATTGTCAAAGTTGGTTCCAAAGTTATTATACCATTTTACACCCCATTCTAGTTGCTCTCCATGATTTTTTTTTTATATTGTTTCTTCTTTTTCAAAGAAACTTAAATTTTTCTGATGAGTGTATAGTGTTATCTCATTGTGGTTCCCCTGAAGTAGAAAATGGCAACCCACTCCAGTATTCTTGCCTGGAACATTCCATGGACAGAGAGGAGCCTGGTGGGCTACAGTCCATGGGGTTGCAGAGTCAGACACGGCTGAGCATTCATGCATTGTGGTTTTATTTTTCATTTTCTTGTTGGCTTAAGTTGAACACCTTTCTAATGTTTATTGGTCATTTAAATATCCTCTTCTTTGAATTAATTGTTGAATTCTATTATTTCTTTTCTGTTGGACTGTCTGCCTTTTTCTGATTGATTTGTGAGGAATTCTTTATGCATTCTGTATAAAAGGCTCTTGTCAGTTTTGTATCTTGGCCTCCCATCATGTAGCAGGTGACCCAGCACTGCTTTTTGAAAGAATATCCTTGTTGCAGTGTCATCTTGACATAAATTCAGGTGATTGTGTATGTGAGGATCTCTTGGATGACTTTAGTTCTATGGTAGAAGTGTATATAAAGTGCTATGGGACAATTACAGAAACAGCAAGTAAAATGTATTTGCACATCACAGGCTTACAGAGGTGATAGTGCTTAAGTTGGCTCTAAAAAGATGGGTAGAAATTTTGTCAAGTTGACAGTTATTAGAAGAGTGTTCTAAGCAAAGGAAACTTCATGTAGTAAAACCCAGAGAATGAGTATGTTGGGAAGATTATAATTAATACGAAGGGTGGATATGGAATAATTTTAAAGAATAAGCCTTGAAAGTATAGGATAGATCTAGACCAGTGGTCCGCAACCTTTTTGGCACCAGGGACCAATTTAGTGGAAGACCGCTTATCCATGGACGGGAGTGGGGGGGTGGTTCATGCAGTAGTGTGAGCTGTGGGGAGCGGTAGATGAAGCTTTGCTTGCAGCCGCTCACCTCCTGCTGTGGGGCTGGGTTCCTCACTGTTTGGGGACCTCTGCTGTAGACTGTAGAAAGCTTCAGCTGTTAGGCCATTGAGTTTGGACTTCATCCCATGTAAAAAGAAGGACCTCAGAGACATTTATTTAAACAAGGGCTACCATAATCACATTTTTGTTTCATAACTTTTGCTTCAGGAAAAGTGTTAACAAATAGAACAAGAGAAAGACTAGAGGCAGGGAAATGAATTAGGAATTTATTCATAGTTAAGGATGATGTGGCAGTCATGTGGAAATGGAAAGTAGAGCCCAGATGCTAGGGACTGTGTAAAGATAAAATACTCAGGACTCAGGACCCACTTAGTACTAAGGAGGAGGAGAAGGGGGCCGACAGAGGACGAGATGGTTGGATGGCATCCCCAACCTGGTGGACATGAGTCTGAGTAAGCTCCAGGAGTTGGTGATGGACAGGAAAGCCTCACATGCTGCAGTCCATGGGGTCGCAAAGAGTCAGACACGACTGAGCGACTGAACTGAGTGAGTACCCACTTAAACTTTGGGTCTGAAGAAGGAGCCATTGATGAGTATTGGGTCACTAACACTTGTTATATCTTCTTCTTATATATTGTATCGTGGAATATTTTTATCCACCAACAACTTCTCTTTTGGTTGCATTTTCTAAAGAATAAAATTACCTAATGCTGTATAATATGAGCACATTACTACTTGACATTCACCAGTATACAATAAGGTTAAAGCTTGATTTTGGTATAGGTTTATGATCATCATAGTTTTACATCACTGCTTAAGACATTTTCATTAACATAACTTTGTCATGTTTCCAGGTTGAAAGTGTTCTTTAGTTACCAAGTTTTACTAAAGATTGGTACTTAGGATAAATTCTAGAATTAGTCAATATTCAGATTGGGACTAAAGGTATGGTTTAATCACCAAAGCTATCATCTAAGACTTATCTTTCTCAGTGTACATGAAATTAAGGAAAACAGTGCCCTCTAATGAATGTTGAGTGACTGGAGTTTTTATTGTGTTGAATATTCCTATCTTAATTCGCTTGTTTTTTAATCTGAGATGGCTTACCGATTTCACATTAATCATTGCAGCTCTGTTTTGGTTTCATTGGTTCATTCTTTTCATTGTTTATCTTTTTTTTTTGTTGTTGTTACTAAAGCCATGGTTTCTTTTGAAGTATATTAGAAAATTATTCTTAATACCTTAGGTTTATATGCGAAGGGGAAGGTTTAGGGAATCCATGGAAAGGAAATGGGAAAACAAAAATACTCTTCACATTTGTTAGAGCTTCTGTTTCCGTGGATGATATACTCTTTATCCTAAAAACATTTTTGTTTCAAGACAAAATATAATATTTTGTCTTTCTAAAAGGATAAACTTTTTTTTTCTTTTTTTAACTTTAAACTTTTTATTTTGTGTTGGGGTATAGCCAGTTAACAAGGTTGCGGTAGTTTCAGGCAAAGAGCAAAAGGACTCAGCCATAGATATACATGTATCCCTTCTCTCCCAAACCCCTCTCCCATCCATGCTGGCACAACCTTGAGAGTTCCATGTGCCTTACAATAGGTCTTTGTTGGTTATCCGTTTTAAACATAGCAATATGTACAAGTTTATTTTTGTATTTTTAGTTTGCAACGTATAATAAGTAGAGTAGTAAAAATAACATAAGTCACTTGAGTAGGAGGTAAGAAACAAGTCTGAGTTCACTTCTGGTGAATACACAATAGGCTGACTGGTTCTTCTATAAGTTTACGAGCATCAACACGGTTGGATCCTCAGTACATTTGGCTGCCCTGTTGCATTGCACTTCTTTGGTTAGTTCTTTTCTCTTCCCACTACGTGACCAAGAGGAGAGAAGCCACCAACCAGAGATCCTCTCATTTTCTGAATTACAGATGTGCAAATCTACCTACAGCAAACTAATTCTACTCTAATAAGTTATTTCAGAGTAGTTATAGATCTACAGAAGAATTTAAAAGATCATATAGAGAGTTCCCACATACCACATACCTAGTTATGCCTATTATTAACATTTTACTTACTTTAGTACATTTGTCACAACTAAGGAAACCAGTGTTGGTACATTACTATTAACTAAACTCCATACTTTATTCAAATTTCCCTAGTTTTTCACTAATAGCTTTTTATCCCCAGGATCCCATCCAGGACATCACATTACATTTAGTCATTCTATCTTATTTTAAAGATACTGGTTATTGGATTGGTAAAGTGTTACTTAATATTCATTTATAGGTGATAAGAAACAGAATATTCTAACTCTTGAAATGCTTAAACCACTGACTAGTGGGAAAGCCCGTAGGCAGGTAGTGGTTTATCAGAGCATTGTTACATTTACAGTGATGGCATGCCCCATGGAGATTTCCTGAGTGTTAAGCTCAGCTTGAGTAAACTAAGTCTATATAGGAAAGTTTATCTCATTTTATTGAAGTTTAGGTTATATGAATTCTAAGAATATGCCTCTTCCTAAACATTAAGTTTTGGGTTCCTTATTTATGGCTTTACCAGTATAGATCATACATAACCATTATTTCTAAGGACAGGTGAGAAAATAGGGTATCAAGTCCTGATGTCTATCAGAAGTGATTTTAGGTGTGGAAATGAGGTTCAAAGTTCACCCACAACTTAATTTACCTATGGCATATTATGGACAGGGGTAAGGTAGTATTTTGTAAGACAAATGATCAAGTAGAATAGAGATTCTTAGTCTACCTACCTCAGTAGACTGACATTTCTATCAGTAACAGTAACTCGGTAAATCTCACAAGGGGGGAAATGGATAACTGAAAAATCTGTCTTTGCTCCCGGTGTTTTTTATATGCACATTCACTCTTAGAATGACATCTAATAGAGCTTTTGCACATGTTTCAGTTGTTTTGAAGCTCATTTAAAAT